CCAGTTTGTGACTTCATTCTATAAAGTACTCGATTTTTAAGTCAAAGAGGAACGGAGCCATGTACAAATCACCACCGCGGTAATGCAAATCGCGCCTTTCAAAATCCAGTCAAAACTGCACTCTCTGTACATTGAGTGGAGGGTCAAAACACACTTATACGTGTGTTTTGCCACCATATCTAAAATTTATCGACAAATATGACGCTATATGAAGTCGGAAGGAGTACTGCACAATCTTCAGATTAATATTTGTGCTGAAAGAGGCGCATCCTGAAGGTAACTACATCAGCTGAACTGCAAAATGTTAATGGAATTACAAAGTTATGGGTAATTGAATTCTTTATGTGGGTGAAGAGCTATCCATCGCCAAAATCATCAAAGAATTTACTGCGCATATAAATTTTATGATATAAAATTAAAACGTTCCAGGTATAACTGGACCCATTTTCAGGCGACATCAAGCAACGGCAGGTACAAAAGACAACGTCCGTCACTGAGACATTGTTGAATTTATTGTCACATCATATTTCCTAAAGATGGATGTGAAACGTCGGATTCTGTCGGAAATTTGTAAACCTGCTGAAGACTTGACAACGGAAATGCAGAGCATAACTGCATCAGCCACTGCAACCTACTGCATTAAAGCAGGTAATGGCTTCAACGAAGAAAAAGTACTTATTCAACCATAAATCCGTACTTTCAGGCTACATCGTCTTTACTCCCTCTTTCAGTATTGGAAGGCATTACGCAGAGGAGTAGCACATAACACGACTTTCAACGACGATAACTTTAAGGATATTATTAAGTACGACTTTTCAACTAAACGATATTACCCTTCAGGTATAGAAAGATAAGATCAGTTATTCGAATTATCGTGGCTGAAAGAAACGACGGATTATACTGAATTCTTGATTACATTTTTATCTTTCAACGGTATTGAACGCAACAGTAGTACACAGCGTCACTGTTAGTAAGCTATGCGTAGTCTCTGTAGGTCAAACAACGAATGATTCCGTCAAGACCAAATTTCAGGGCGTATTGAATCTCATCCTTGCTCTTATTTGCCTGAGGAACATTTAGGAACGCCACATATCCATGGCATTTGAGTTCTTCAGCAAGAGATCTATGGCGCCCCATCTTGTCCGCTAGAATCACCTCACGCTCAGCACGAACGAAGTTTCAAGAGCCGGTACTTCCAATATGATGTATCATAAACATCATAAGTTGTCTGTATGCCCGAGTAAGTCAAAAGAAGAATGACTCCCCAAAACCAGAAGATCGATATTTGACATACTCAGGCGCAAGAACAGCTTAAGACATGTAAGGAATAGCATTGTGGGGTATCAGCTCGTGAAGCATCGTTTGTTCTGAGTGTGAAGTCACTCTAGAGGAGAAAATGATGCGATGCGACATACATCTGCTGCTGCAGGTGCTCAAATGCCATCGATCTGTGGCGCTCCTAAATGTTCCTCAGACAACTAAGAACAAATGATGCAATTCAATACCGCGTGAAACCTGGTCCTGGAGGAGTCATTCATTTTTAAATATCCCCTTTTAATAACGAACGCTAAACTATGCTGTTAAAATAATGCAATAGCACTTAAATATGTTCTTCAATAAAGTGTGACGCTTTCCCACTGCGGTCACGAATAACACAGAATACAGACAGAAACAATGAAACAGGTTACCTTATTCGATGAGTTTGCAAATACCAGATACGAGCCGTCGCCTGAATAGTAGTGCGGCTTGATCTAAACGGATGCATCTTACAAGCAACGTCAAATTCATTAATGAAAGCGACAGAAACTGAATTGACAAAACAACGTTCGAAAGTGCATGACTACTAGCAGCATTAACATTTTAATTTTTTACACAATGCTTGCAAGTGAATCAGTATTTCTAGTCATCGCTTAGCACCTCTCTTGCTGTCCAAGTGATTCACAGCCGCATATGGACAGCCCAGCTTCAATGACTAGAGATCCCATGTAATATTGAAAGTCGATTCAGTGCTCAATGAGGAACAAAAAGATCATCCCTTAGTAGTGTTCACGTTACACATTGTAGAAACGGTTCAACCAAAGAAATAAAGAAACAATTGAAATTCAGCGCAATGGCCGTTATAAGGATCAGATAATTAAATCGATGTAAATCAAAGCCAACGCTTTATAAAAAGACCAAACAGGTAAACTTGTAGAATCAGCATCTGACGTGATTCGGCCAAGAACGATGACACTTCCCATGCAAAATATTGATATCCAGCGAGAAGCCGCATTGAAAACAAAGTTAAACTCACAAGCAGTGACGCTTAGAGAATGCATTTTCATAAGTAATGTTGATCATCAGTAATTCAGCGCGTGATATTGTCATACGCTAGAATTTTCTGAAAAATGCTTTATTAAATGTATCAATCGAGCTGCCGCATCGTCAATTTCGATGTTGCTAATGTACCAACGGCAGGTTTAACATTCATTTGCTCATCACATTTATTGATTCCTTTATCATGGTAAAAAAGAACTCTCAAACTGGTGCGGAGGTCATCTTGCAAATGCACACTAAACATAATTCCTGTTTTAAGATAAGTAACCAGCGGTTTCTTTCAGGGAACGCATGTAAATTGGCATGAAACACAAATCAGCGGTGTTACTTTCATCCTATGATCCACTCACATCTGTGATGAGTTTTCAAATGAACCTACAGCCAAATCATTATGTACTGCAGGAGTGCATCACAATGAGGTCTATTC